TGTTAGCGTAGGTTGATCAAAATATAGGGGAGGAAGCTATTTTTTTGTTTTCTACACATATTCCACTATTTTGTTATTTTCTCTTGTTAAGGAATTTAAGATGGAAATCAAGGAAATTCCGTGAGCAGTTTTTTCTCTGATTACGGTTGCAACGCATGTCTTTAGGGGTGTTAAGCCATGTGCCCTTATCATCCTTGGTTCCCCATCAAGGGAGGCGTACGCATGCAGTGGCGGTTAGACGCGTTGTCAGCGGTTTCAGAAAAAAACGCAATGTTTTATTTGGACGCCTATCTTTCAAGCTACTTCTCCCCATAGCTCCGTCGTTGCAGCTGCACTCACTGACAAGCACATGAGGTTGCGCGGGTTCACAGAGGAAATGTCCAACGGTATCAAAAAATACTACGAGATCATCTGCGTCCCCCAAAGGGTTAGCGATCTTGTTTGGTTGCATAACACCTAAAATTCGCCACCCCGAGTGGTTGGGCGCGAGTGCCGTCCTATACTACGTGGAAAGTAAAGCGTTTTGATAGCCTCAGCAGCTATCCGATGGCCGTACAGTTTAATTGTCTCAAGCCATTTGGACGTGAGGAACGCCAAATAGATAAGAAACAGACCGATCCACCTCCTGAGGTAACTGCTGAACTAAAAATTGCAAAACATTAGCGCACGAACTGAATTTGAACAGTTGCTATAGCGGTACTCCCTGATTGCATTTTAGAGCCGCGCTGCTGTGCGGTTACAGAAGAGCAGAAAAGCGAAAGCTGTTAACTTCGTTACGTATTGTTTAACATAGGACTCTGCTTTATCCTTGGAGTTACTCCTGCGTTGCATGTTATGAGAGGAATGGAGAAAATCGGCGCGTAAATGATTCAAATCTCAGGTAACTGAGGCGTGGTAGTGGGTCTTGGGAAATAATAGGTGCAAAACAATTGCGTGGAAAATAAAGAATGTGAAGCCTGACTGTTGACTAGCTTCCCAAGTGAATGTAGATTATGCGTTTTTCTCCGAGCCGACCGATTAATTTGCAGATTTTTAAGAGAGCAAGAACGAACAACATTTCACGGGAAAACCTGAATTCAGATTATTTCGTGTCTTTTCACTCAGCCGCTTACAGACAAATCGTGGAAAGAGTAAAGGAATTTAACTGAAGAAGGATCAACTAGAATCATGGAACATGTTCCACGGAACCTGGCAAATAGTGCACCTAAACTCCCTGCCAGCTCAATCGCTCAGCATCTGCTCGATTGTACCTTGTGTGAAAACTCATGTGACGCATTCAAGGCTATCAGAGACAAAATAACGAGAGCTTGCTTCGTTTCGCTGAAGCCTCTGCTATCCGACAAATGAAACCTAACCTTTGCAAACAGGTCGACCTTGTGGCCAGTCTTGCCTTGCCCTAGTAAGACGTAGGCGATGACCATGATTTTCTCAATTTTTTATTGATTTCCGTATTGATTCCTTTTCAACTGCATTCCTTTACAGTTTCCACGATTTGTTTGTAAGCGGCTGAATGAGAAGACACGAAACAATCTGAATTCAGGTTGTCCCGTAAAATGTTTCTCGTGCTTGCTCTCTTAAAATTTCTGAAGGGAAATGGTTGCATGTAATTTGCGGAAGTTCCCTTACCTTGCTGATCAACATTAGTGCGACCTACAGGATCTGGTTTGTTATTATCAGGTTCAAGTGCTTACCTAACAGGTTTCGTGTTGAATGCCAGGATTTGATGGACTCGTGTGCTTGCTGGCTTTTTGCTTCCGAGGATTTTGATGTTTTTCTAGTTGAATTGATAATTTTCGGTCATCAATACGCACAGACACCAGATAACATGGGTCATCAAGGCGAATGATTCGGCCACGTTACGCAGCTTCGTGCTAAGCCTTTTCTGCTTGTCCTACGTAGTATTTGTCAGTTTCAGAAACAGATACTGTAGATCACAACAGATGTTTCATCTTACTATATTTCACTTATAAGGGTTTAGTTGAAATTGTTTGCGTCGGTTGATAAGCACCTTTGGCTCGAAGAAACAATAAAGGTCTAACTAGGACTTCAGAGATTCTGTTGGCGTAGGATAATGTGGGTATCATTTCAACTGTTGCATATGTTGAGATTTGTTGTGTTAACTTTGAAGTGTTAGACAGCGCAGAAAGAATCCCCTTGGGCACGAATTCTGTTTGAACAGGCTGAACTGATACTCTTCCTCTGAGTTACTTAGCTGTAGTGGGCAACAGTGCGCTTGGGCGTCGATCTTCAATTGATTGTATTTTTCCCGTGGTCCAGCGGCAATCCCTCGAATTTGAACGCCTAAGAATGTTAACTACTAGTAGTTCACCTCCTAGCTGGTGAGTTGGATGCCATCTAATATTTTGTACATGATTTCATGCATCTACCCTAGCGAGGAACCCTTGAAAAGGACGAAAAAATCGTCTACGAACCGCACTCAAATTTTGTTTTCGCGGTAGGGAGTTCATCGAAGTCATGCATTCAGAGCAGGATAAGACCAATAGGTCGCGGGATCTAGAGAGAGCATACGAGGATCTGAAAACAAGTACGGTGACGTCAACTGACTTTTCAGTTTTCAAGAACGACAACCTAGCTGGAGTGCCAGCACTTGACTGAGTACATTAAATTCTGCTTCGATTTATATTGCCCTGTTGAGACCAGCTACCTATGGATAGATAGATTCTTCGGCGCGACTGAAGCAACTTAGAAGAAAGAAAAAACAAGCATATAAATGAAAAATGAGTGTGCAAGTTAAAAGACACACTTTGGCAATCAAATCCGAGATAAAAAGGTTGTATCGTCTAGACAATGAGACAGTGCTCGGATCTCACGATTGTCACGATCTTTGAAAGGCCTATGTGGACAAAGTTCCCATAAGCGCATTGATAACGTGGATGTGAACAAACTCAACGCTGAATTCTGTTCTTCTCAACAGGGTATTAACACTTTACCGCACTTCACCAACACAGGTCATGTAGCCACCTGACAGGTGTAATGTTTGCCGAGAACTAAAAAATTGAAGATAAATAAGGCTACTGGCCCGATTCATTATCACCACTTGTCTTAAAGCACTGTGTAGATTACCTTGCGGAATCTTTGACCGCAATTTTTAACCGATGTCTTATGGAGGGCACCATACCTAACATTTGGAGACCTGTTAGGATAACACCTGTTCCAAAGAAGGACTCTCAAAAGTATCGTTCAATAGCATGCACATCGGTGATGTTGAAGGTCTTCGAGAAACTACTTGCTCCTCAGATTTTCACACGCACCAATGCAGGCGATATACACCAGTTCGCTTACAAACATGGCCGCTCCACACTGGATGTGGTGTCATACCTTGTACATACTATAGCATCTGCACTGACGATAAAAACATGGCAGTTCGCTTCCTGTTTCTCGACAATACAGATGCTTTCGGTAGAGCTGACAGATCAATCCTGCAAATGGGGTTTCAACAAGTGTTTGCAGCGTAGTAAAGGACTAGTTCTCTAGTCTAGACGTTTTACTGGGAGCCATCCTCTCACCCGCTCTATTTTCTGTATACATTGAAAAGCTCCCCATATCATCTACCTTTATTAAATGCAAGTATTGGGATGCGTAACTACAACGGTTGGCACATCTACCACTTTTCAAAATGGCCTAGATGAGCTCGTGCTTTGGTCCTCTTCCCGATCTCTGATTCTGAACCTTTCTAAATGTCGTGATTTGACATTCTCGTTTCTCCGAGCTGACAAGTTACAAGCTGTTTTGGACGCCACTTCTTCATTGGCAGTGAGTGGTCAGTTCATACCCAGATTTTCAAGTGTTAAATTTCTAGGAGCCATTTTATCCCGAAACTCTATTCACATTGCCGAAACGTTTTGTAAGGTTAGACGGTTGTCATTTTATGCTCCTCGACTTAAAGTACTTTCAGTACCCCGTGATTTGATTCTTAGATTTGTGACTGCATGTATACTGCCACATTGGCTCTACTCTTCCCTGGTGATCTTCCCTGGGTTACACAAAAAGGATTTCACGGTCCATAAAGCTTATTTCCAGACGCAGCGGATTGTCCAGAGGGTCCCTTGTGGATTTTATTGTCAACAAGCACTTAGACAGTTGTACCAGTTTTCCCTCCAAAATACTAAACGACCCTGTTCAAAAACACTACCTTGTTGCTCTACCCACTCCAAATTTAAGAGTTTATTTTCACGTACTGCATCTTACGGCAATTCTGTGTTACCGTACCTGTCCCGCTTGCTTGTTGACCTAACCAAAACTATTAGTATGCTGCGAAATTAATTGCTCAAGTGATACGTGTGGACATTTTTACACATTATTTTTTCTGCAACAGTAATTTCATATACATCACCGTCCGCAGTGATAGTGTGCATGAAGCATACTTTGACTTGAAGCCGCAATAAGGATGTTGCCTAGCCTGTTACCGAAACGTCTGCAAAGCAGTCGGTCAACTCGGAGGACAACACAAAATCCACATCTACATCCTAAACTCGGGATAACTCGAACTGTTTCAAATACCCAAGTGCACCTTACGATAGGACTAGCTACCAAATAATCAATGAATTATAATGGTGGCTGGCCGTTAGGGTATATCACGAGAAAGCCACGGCTATCTGCAACTGACGCTCCCGAGTGTTGATTTTGCATCAGCAGGGAGTGAAAAAAGTATAAGTCTCTCCTGACGCCGTTTGATCAGTTCACACTCTTTAGGTAAGCGAGGAAGTACTGAGTGTAAAACACGTTTATTGGATAGTAGGTATATTTGCTATGCAAGGTTAAGCATGCAATAGCAGCATTCGATAAGAGAGCATTTGGTGGTCAAATTTATCATTTTACGAAATTACGCTTGCTTCTCACCATGCGTAGTTCGCATACTTGGGAAAATGCAACCAGGCTTCGAAGTTATGAACCTGGTACCCTTAAGGTGACGATAAAAAACTGATTTAAGTCCATGTAGTTAAATTCATTCGAAGGACCTAAAACAAGCCCCAACATACCTTGAAAGTGGAAGGTCTTGTGATCCACTGTTATGGTGAAGGTGCTATCATCTTCATCATCGATACCAACTTGGGCGTTCTTTAACTTCACACAGCCTCGCCGATCTCCCTTCATCATTTTCTCTTTAGACTAAACAATTAAATGGGGAAGAGAATGAAAAGATTATATGATATGACAACTGATAAATTTTGGAAGAGATAATATAAGTACAAAACGCCAGTACTGTGAGGTACACATCATCGGAGCGGTACAGTCGCGAAGTCAACGATATCTCAGCATTCGGTACCTTGCTTCCATTCTGTAACTATCCCACCTAGCTTCTCTAATATTTATAACCTTGTTTTGGCTAGCTTTTGGGTGTACGTCGATTTGCATGCCCTAGTTTCTTCCAACGGTTGCTCATAAGCATTGCCGATCAAAGGAGGGAATGAATCATAAGTATTTTGGCAGCTGCATCGCAGGTAGTTCACGGAACGATTAATTAGCTAGCGATCCAACCCACGCGAGTGTGAACCACTGTCTGGTTTGGCGACTGCTTGTTCATTGTAGTAATCTACTCTCTCCCTATGATTATCCTAATGGATATGATCGTAAAATGAGCTTCCGGTCATATAGGGTTGATTACCGAAAGCTTCATATACCATGTAAGCCACATCAATACTCAGTTGAAGTCAATGTTTCGTCAGTTGTGAGAAATAATCAGTGTCGCCTGATCAGACCGATTCGACGGAACAAGATGGGATTGTTGCAGTCCAGCCCATTCCTGATAACCTACAGTGATGAGTGCTGAACTGAGTGGGCTCAGCTGTCCTGATCACGTCGTCATGATGATAAGGATCAGCAAGAAAAATGAAGAAAGATAAGCATAAAATATCAGTCTAATATTGATAACAAAACCTCGAAGCAAGAGTGAATGCAAGGTTACTAACAATGGACGGTGCTGTAGCGATCAATGTCTTGGAACTCCCGTACATGGAGATATAGCAAAATGGGAGCTGGGACCTTAGGTAGACTATAAACGTTTCTACCATGTTATCAGCCAGCCAAGTTATGACGAAGCGGTGAGGTCCAAGTCGATAAAGACGCATGTACATCAGTTCAACCAACTAACTGGGATCCGAGTCGTTGCATGATGTTTGTATGTTGAAGTCAGAAATAATAAAGATGACGCTGCGACGACCTTCAGAAGAGGTTCTGCGTGGTTCTCGGTAAAAACTGGATGATGGATAATAGGTGCCGATTTGAAGATGCCCGTTCGGAACATCAGAATATTGAGCGAACTACCGCTGATATTCATGAACAATGGCGATGTGACGTTTCCGTAACATAAATTCACGTTTGATTTTCTTAATGCTATCGATTGCGACAACGCTCCAGCCTGCTGAATTGGCTTTCAGGCAGGAGCAAAACTCCGTCTTTATGCTGTGATAACTTTTGTAGGTTCATGCATTAGCTGAGTTGGAAGAGTATTGGGCAGTTCCAGGTAGCGCTGCTTAAACCTATCTCCAAAAAATCCACAGTGAGAACCAGTTTCAGGGTTACGAGGACATTTTGGACTTAAGCACCTTAGAAGAAGAAGCCTATTGCTTTTGAGTGAGTTGTTTGGACCCTGTATTTCGTCCGAAATTTGGACGAACCAAACTATGCAAAGCGGTTTCCAATGTTTTCGTTAGGATACACTGGAGGCGATCGTCAGTGGTATATAGTAAATTCGGCTCATTCGTCATAGACAGCTGACGCTGAACCATAGATCAACGGTGCAGTCAAAGGGATTGTGAATTCGGTTGCCGATTAAGAGGTCATAAGGCTGAGCGATCCGCTGAGATCTGGAAATTAAATGTCATAGTAGGGCACTGAGAAAAAATCGAAATCCGAGTTATTATTTCAGATCGACATAGTCTTGCGCCGTTGCGCTAAACATAGCTGAGGGCAGGGTGGCTAAGCCAAAACTATGACGTTTCATTTAGTGGGCTCCAAATAGTGATCAAGACGATCGTACTAGAAGGCGCTTACGACCGGCATGAAGCCGGAGGAACCGGTCGTCATCATCAGTTCGACAGGCATTCACAAGCACACGGTCACCTGGACGTTGACTGGTGTCCGATAAGTGACAATCGAGCATTCGCACTATCTGCAAGGAAAGAATAGGTTGTTCTTTCCTTGGCCATGCAGAGAACGTGTTGCGTACTTAAAATTTGTAACGAATATCATTCACACAGTTTAATTACGTGCTTTCCCTGCTGGAGGCTGGCTTGCCGAACAACCTCCTCGTGGTGCCAGCTGGGTGGTTCGGGTTTTTCCCGTTCCAGCGAATGGTTCGGCGGCAGTGTTCCAGGACGTGGTGGGTTTTCGCCTGGCAAGCGTTCTCCCTATAAAAAGCCACATATGTCCGTTTAACAACACTGCGGCGTGGCGGATGTGACTCGCCACTAAATAAAGTCACTGCCCCTTGCCCCTCCCTGAGAGGCATTGTACTTTAAGGGTGAGTTGGGCCCCTGCTCCTTCACGGACCGAAAGGCGTATGAACCATCTACTTGGTCACCGGCTCCCAACGGGTTGCGACGCCCTCACATCGCCCTGCTGCCTTGTAGGTTAGATCTTTGATCAAAGGCTCTGGGGTAGGGCCCCCTAAGACAACCCTCTACTTCGGCCTGGGCAACCGGGTAGTATCACGCCCACTGACGAATCATGGACTACACCGCTCACTACTACTACTGCTATGCCGCTCTTCTGTCTTAACTCAACCGCTCAACGTCCACTCAGAGACCACCCCACCTCCAATCATTCACCCACATGTACTCTTGTGTCTTCTACGGTCACCGTCACAAACGACCCACGTCTCGCAGCTGATGGAAGTAACAGCCAAACTCCCGGTTCTCAATGTCCTGCGATCGCAACCGCCTCTCACTCCACCGAAGCTCCAGCTCTTCTCCGACCTGGTTCTCCATTCATCCTCGCAGCGTTTAATGTTCGAACTTTGATGCAGATCGGACGACAAGCATGTCTGGCCCGTACTCTTGAAACGCTATCGGTAGACATCTGTTGTCTTTCAGAGACCAGATTACAAGACTCTAGCGCCGTCATCAGAATGGCTACTCCGGTAAACTCTGACGCCAAATACTACTTGCGGCTTTCCGGAGACCCAGAATTTGCCGCCACTGGTCAAGCTGGTGTTGGGGTTGTATTAAGTGCCAGGGCTGAATCAGCTCTGCTTGACTGGATCCCAGTCAACAGCCGACTATGTGCAGTCAGACTAAGAGGTTCATGTAACGTAAGCACGCGTCGAGATGTTAAGCGTGCCTTATTTGTCGTCTCCGCCTACGCCCCTACAGACTGCAGCCCGGATGCAGTTAAAGATAGCTTCTACCAACAACTACATGAACTTCTGCGTTCCTCCAAACGGACGGATATAGTCATTCTTGCCGGGGACTTTAACGCACGGGTTGGCCGCCTTCTACCAAGCGAGCACCACATTGGGGGTAGTTTTGGTCTCGGTGGCAGTCGATCAGACAATGGAGACAGACCACTTGCTCTTTGCTCTGATCATCGCTTGTTTCTTTCGAGCACTAGTTTTCGACACTCGAGGAGACAGACTGCTACCTGGCGCCCGCCCTCACAAACGCAAGAGTGCTCCCAGCTTGACCACATAGCAATCAGCTACAGATGGCGCGGAAGCGTAATGGACTGCCGATCGTACTGGTCAACTTTTCTGGACTCTGATCACGCATTGGTTCGTGCTAAGATTTGCATGCGTTTCGGAGGATCACTTAAGCGCGCCCACTACCGACCGGACGTCGCAAATCTACAAAACGCTGCGGTTTTAACCAGGTACCAAGCCTCACTGTCAACTTTGCTTGGCTCAACTATTGACGGTGATCTCGATTCGCAGTGGGCGCATATCAAAGATGCGTTAGTTTCCGCCAGTATCGACACTTGTGGAGTTACCCGTCACACACCGAAACATTGGATTTCCGCCGACTCCTTGTCGCTGATGGACAAACGCCGCTTGATCCCATCGGATTCGAGACACGTTGAAGAACGCCAATACCTTGGTCGAGAGTTGCGCAGGAGTCTGCAAATGGACCGCGAAGCTTGGTGGTGTGAACGTGGTAGGGAGATGGAGCTTGCTAGTCTCTGTGGTAATACCAGGAAACTCTTCCATCTCCTTGGAGTCACCGAAGGTGTTCGATCTGGTATAAGTGAAACAATATGCGAAGAGGATGGCACCTTAATCACCAATCTTCAAAGACGGTTTAAGCGATGGGCCGAACATTTTGGCTCGCAGTTTTGTTGGCCCCCAGCTCCATCTGCTACCTCTGGCGCTCGCGCTGGGGCCGAGTGGTCTACCCCAACAGACCCTCCCTCTTCCCAGGAAATTGAGCAGGAGCTCCGGCACCTGAAGCGTTATAAAGCTCCCGGCCCTGATGGTCTTCACCCAGCTCTATTTAAAGATGGTGGCGCATCGCTGGTCCGAGAACTCACCGTTTTGTTCTCGAAAATTTGGTCGAAGGAGAAGGTTCCATCATCTTGGGGTGAATCGATAGTCGTACCCATCTTCAAAAAGGGCCTGCGCACAATCTGCTCCAACTACAGAGGCATAAGTTTAGTCCCCGTCGTTTGCAAGCTGCTGGTGTCCATCATACTTCGCAGGCTATCCCCAACACGCGAATCGTTGCAGCGAGAAGAACAAGCTGGGTTTCGCCCTGGTCGCGGCTGCATCGATCAAATCTTCACACTTCGCCAGATCCTCGAGCTCCGCCATGTGTATCAGAGGCCAACGATTGCTGTGTTCCTGGATATCGGTGCAGCCTTCGATTCTGTCGATCGTACAGTACTGTGGCATTGCTTTCTGAGGAACGGTGTCCCCGAGAAGTTCGTCTCCATACTGCGCGCTCTATACAGTCTGACCTCGGGCAGGGTTAGGGCTTATAGCAAGCTTTCGCCTACCTTTGTGGTCTCCAGTGGAGTTCGACAAGGATGCCCTATCTCTCCGTTCCTATTCAACTTTGCCATTGAGGATGTCCTGAAGAACGCTCTGAGCGATTCGTTGAACGCTGGCGTTGAGCTCCTCCCAGGTAGTCGAGTTGTTGATTTGGATTATGCTGATGATATCGTCTTGCTAGGTGACG